ATCATTCTATTCGTGCTTCAGACTAAGGAGATTTCGTAAACAAACATATTTTACCTCTATTTTTTTACAAACGGACAGGTAACACGACGTGACAGTCAGTCCATTATTCACCGATCCCTACTTATCTGAATCTCGGGTTATGTCACGATGTTTGGCCTCAGACTTGATCGCGATCCGCAGATCCGTTGTTAGGGGAAACGTCGTGTGAACTGTACTGCCTTAACTTTGGCCTGGTTGTTGGATTCGTACCGCTATTCGTTTAAATGCTTTCTGCTTGTTTTTCAAATTCAAATACTGTAAATGTGTCATTTGTTTTACCTAAAGCCCTGATACAAAAGTATTTTTTAAAGTAATCTCTAGATGTTGAGCCACATTATCATCTGAAATGTATTTAAAATTTACTTTAACACCTACACTTTCACTTCGCTAAAGGAGACAATCAAGTCGTTTAAAAGCGATTAACAATGATTACCGTGTCTGTTTTTACACAGTGTGTACACCTATTAATCTGCGTGGACCACGTCACGCATGATAGAATATGATGATAATCTATCTAACACCATCGGCATTTTCCTTGTTCGGAATGTAAACACTTCAGCGCTCTAGCGACCGCGATCTTTAATTTCTAATTGGTGTTCACGCTTCGAGTGAGATTCGATGGTGATAGCATCCATCATAGTGATTGATACCATTAAATTTCTCTATATGATACAGATTTTTATTTTGACTAAATACCTTTGTATAAAAGTATGCTCGTTGGATTCGCAAGAACCTGATTTTTAAAAGTAATTGGTCTTTTTTGTTTGACAGCAGAACAAATTCGTAAATTCGTCTTTTTAGGTTATAACAAACGAAACTTAAATCACTGTAATTACAAATAAACTATCTAAAGAAATGAATTTATAGAGTAATTACTACAACAAAAAGTAGGTAATGTAGCAATTAAGAATAGCATTAACAGAAAAAGCAAGTGATAATAACAATTACGCGTGGAAAAAGGAACCGGCCGCAATCAATCGTATGATAATAGCGACAAGGCGTCAACCAAAACCGCTGCCGCTATAATTCCACAATTTCACTGGCACGTGACGTCCGGCTAGTTCTTTTTACAAAAACATTTAGTCGAGGACCTATTCTGAATGCCGTGCCTTCTCCTGACTTGTCTCTACAAACGTAGTCTTATCGACGCCAGAATCAGTACGGTACCGCTCAAAAGAACCGTAAATTTTAACCATAAACTCAAGTTCACTATCATAACTATTTTATAACATTACCATTTCATATAACTCAAGTCCAATTAAAGTCTAATCCATTGCTAATGATAAAGATAAGTACCAACGAGAGACAAGGTGAAAGCAATCAACGGAGCAGAGCCGTGATCCTACCAAAGCGAACAATTAATTTCTTCATGAGAAACAATCGAATTAAAACGAAAAAGTGTTAATAAGAGCGTCAGTGGTTTCATAGAAAACAGTGAAAGTGACAGCAATAAATAATAAAGAAAAGTATCTGGTTTCAGGTGCAGTGGAAAAAATAAATACACTCATAGTTGTAGAGGTTAAGAGGGCGCGTTGAGCACGTGCGAAAAATATCATACAAATCACGGCACCAGTCAGTAAAAGGCAATTCTGCACGTAACGCGTACGGCTTATTAAGGAGTCTAGGTAGTTACAGACAAGTTATGGCAGATACTTTCGAGAGAAAATAGGATATAATAGAATTTATCTGCCAGTTCTCCGGTAGTTCCATTAAGCGTTAATATACACGACTACTTAACAATTAACTGTTTGAGTAGGTACTTTAATTTATGGGTCGTTAACATAAATATATAATTAATATAATTTTGTTTTTTTTTTAAGAATCTTGCAACTCGGCACTGGCACTGTGTTCAGTTCGATCAATTTTTAAACGGAAACGTTCACATACACTTTTTTTTGTTTTTTGATTTTTTTTATTTTAATTTTAATTTATTATTTCTCATGGCTGCGTTTGGCGGAGAATAGCGCTTGTTGAAGATGTAGGTAGACCATGACAACCAGCCGAAAATTTATCATTGTCTCTTTTGAATTTACTTGTAATTTTTATCGACTACCACGCCCCCTATTGCGCGCCCTTATGGCCAGTAGACCGACCTGGCTCACTGTGTCACAGACGAGACAGGGACTGTGTCACCAGATTGTAGCTTGCCTTTAACCTGTCTGTAACTGTCTGATTAAACCGTCTCGGCCACAGGTCTTAACCAGAAGGGCGCGCAACCCTCATCACGAATTGGTTCCCGCTGAAAACCAGCTTCTCGGCATGACGTTTGTGTCATGTCGCGATTTTTGCTGAGCGGGCGCCTATTCAACATATGTTTTTATTTATTGTCTGTTATGTTTTTATGTTTTTTTATGTACTTACTCTTGCTTTGTATACCTTAAATGATAATTATGCTGAATAAAGACATTCTTATTCTTATTCTTATTATTCTTATAAAATATGTTATTTGCGGTTAGAAATATGAGCACGGATATTATGATGGCAAACAAACTGATCAAATCTTCACTAAGAGTAATAGTAAAATAAGTAACAAAACGACCAAGTGCGAGTTGGACTCGCGTACTAGGGGTTCCGTAGTCTTATTCGAGATGAATATCTATTTATATGAAATGTCTCTTACCAGTTACTTTTCCTCGTCTACGTTGTTTAGAAAACATCGCATCATCTTCCATTTCGGAGTCTATTGGACATTCTCCAATCGACAAAATTATATGGTTTAAAAATATACTTAAATTGGCAGTTGACTGCCATAGTACAGGTGGTATAAACATATGTTTGCGATAGAAAAAGTTACTTTACTGTTATCTTTACTCTGTTATAAATTTAACTTTTTTACTATCTTAAAGATAGGCTTGAATTCTCTTGAAGTCTTTACAGGGCGATACTAGTACAGAACCCTAAAGGCAATGGCGACGAAATCGTAAAGCCTGTTGTTATGATCATGATTCATTTATCTGATACCAATATGGGTTACTAGATCAGATGAGAGGGAAGATCGGCGAAAGACTGATATTTATCAAAATTAAACTTCACAGCGGGCGAACATTGTAATTGTTGACGAAGTAAAACCTATTGAAGAATAACGGCCTCCCAACACTAGCATTTCCACTTTCGTGATTAGCAGCAATTAAAGTGTTGCGCGAGATGAGAAAACTTTATACTAATTGAAATTGTTTCTATTACTCGCAACGAAAAAGTTACGCTGCGTATTTGCTTCCAACTGTAAGTTGNTTGTTCGGGAGGCTGGAAGTCGTCGAGCCTGCGAGCGAGACGATTCGTAATGACTCTTGAAAACAGCTTGTAGACATGGCTCAGAAGTGAGATGGGTCTATAATTCTTCAATAAGGTTTTGTCACCTTTTTTGAAGAAGAGTACCACCACACTTCTGTGCCATGTCGTAGGCGTTTTCCCTTCGAGGATGACGGAATTGAACAGCTTCTGAAGAGCCCTCAGTACCGGCGTTCCGCCTGCCTTCAAAAGCTCAGCCGTGATTCCATCATCACCCGGTGCCTTGTTGTTCTTCAGCTGTTTGAGAGCCATTCTAATCTCGTACAGACTGACGTCCGGGATATCTTCGGTANACCTGTCTGTAACTGTCTGATTAAACCGTCTCGGCCACAGGTCTTAACCAGAAGGGCGCGCAACCCTCATCACGAATTGGTTCCCGCTGAAAACCAGCTTCTCGGCATGACGTTTGTGTCATGTCGCGATTTTTGCTGAGCGGGCGCCTATTCAACATATGTTTTTATTTATTGTCTGTTATGTTTTTATGTTTTTTTATGTACTTACTCTTGCTTTGTATACCTTAAATGATAATTATGCTGAATAAAGACATTCTTATTCTTATTCTTATTATTCTTATAAAATATGTTATTTGCGGTTAGAAATATGAGCACGGATATTATGATGGCAAACAAACTGATCAAATCTTCACTAAGAGTAATAGTAAAATAAGTAACAAAACGACCAAGTGCGAGTTGGACTCGCGTACTAGGGGTTCCGTAGTCTTATTCGAGATGAATATCTATTTATATGAAATGTCTCTTACCAGTTACTTTTCCTCGTCTACGTTGTTTAGAAAACATCGCATCATCTTCCATTTCGGAGTCTATTGGACATTCTCCAATCGACAAAATTATATGGTTTAAAAATATACTTAAATTGGCAGTTGACTGCCATAGTACAGGTGGTATAAACATATGTTTGCGATAGAAAAAGTTACTTTACTGTTATCTTTACTCTGTTATAAATTTAACTTTTTTACTATCTTAAAGATAGGCTTGAATTCTCTTGAAGTCTTTACAGGGCGATACTAGTACAGAACCCTAAAGGCAATGGCGACGAAATCGTAAAGCCTGTTGTTATGATCATGATTCATTTATCTGATACCAATATGGGTTACTAGATCAGATGAGAGGGAAGATCGGCGAAAGACTGATATTTATCAAAATTAAACTTCACAGCGGGCGAACATTGTAATTGTTGACGAAGTAAAACCTATTGAAGAATAACGGCCTCCCAACACTAGCATTTCCACTTTCGTGATTAGCAGCAATTAAAGTGTTGCGCGAGATGAGAAAACTTTATACTAATTGAAATTGTTTCTATTACTCGCAACGAAAAAGTTACGCTGCGTATTTGCTTCCAACTGTAAGTTGATTACAAATAACAACGCCACGCTACAGTAATTATTCTAGCTGTGGAATGACGGCAAAAAATCACAGCATCACTAATATTCTCACTTGTTATAAAGTATTTTAAACCTCAAAATTGAATTTGTAAACGAACAAAGAATAAAATACGAATGAAATTTAAAAAATGCAACAGATAATCGTCGTTAACCAGTTTATTAACCTGAACTGGCAACGTGACGACGTAATCGTATAAAATCGTCAGGTGCATGACCGTGAAGAATTATTTCGTCGAGTAAGGAATCATCGCGCACGAATGACTCTACGGATATGTCAGCGGACGCCAAAACAGTATCATGTCCGGACCCCGCAAAAAATAAGATGAAAACAGCCGGTATCTCGATAAATGCCTAAGAACTTCCATTTGCAATAATCAAAAGGCTATCATCAAGAGAGTCTGCGGTTGTTTCAAATAAAAATTCAATAAGCGCACACGTACAGGCAGTTGACATAGAAACTTTCAGAAAAGTGTGAGCGCGAATGAATAAGATTGTAGCATTGCGGGTCGGGGCCGACTTCGTGACATTTCCCATCATTGTGACAATTACTAATGACGAGTTGGATAATTGACGCTTTCATCGCCATGAACTGTTACTACTTACTACTTATACATACACTATCATTTAAAATTATTCATAACCAACAGATGCTAGAGCCTACAAGAAATTATTCGCTAGGCAAGTGTTAAGAGAAATGAATGATTCTGTTTTACAAGAGTAATAGATCCGTGGTATCTTTGATAACTCGCAATTTTCACTTTTATGCTTCATTATGCATACGTTTTTCAATATTTATATACTTTACGTCTGATCCCAACTAATATTATAAATGCGAAAGTAACTCTGTCTGTCTGTCTGTCTGTCTGTCTGTCTGTCTGTCTGTCTGTCTGTTACGCTTTCCCGCTTAAACCTCGCAACCGATTTTGATGAAATTTGGCATAGAGATAGTTTGAGTCCCGGGAAAGAACATAGGATAGTTTTTATCCCGGTTTTTGAAACAGGGACGCGCGCGATAAAGTTTTTCTGTGACAGACAAAATTCCACGCGGGCGAAGCCGCGGGCGGAAAGCTAGTATTACAATAAATAGAGCGCATCGAAAGTATTTATTGCAAGCATAATTACTTTGTATACACGCATATTGTATTAACATGTATTTTTCTGTTTATTTCAGACTGTGCCGCTACCAGCTGGGTCGACGTCAGTACTGGCCAAGCCGACCAAATATCACTATTACCCACACAATCAACACATCTATTTATTGCCAGAATGCGCAATACAGCAGGTAAAATACTACTTAAATATCTTACGGATTGACCCTTATTAAATACAAGAAAGCATGACCAAATTCCCAACTATTCGACACGTTCATGACCCTCGTCAACACCTTAGTCTACGAGGGTCAAAAATACATAGCATGTAAGCTTTGTATTATTATTGTTAATTTCACGTTCGGAAACAAATATGACTAAATGCCTTTTGAACCACGATTTTTTCCGAAAGTTCAACAAATTTCAAAAAACATATTAGGTCTCAAAAGTACAAAACATGTGTACTAGATGCCTGCCATCTGATTCCTGCTCACGTAAAAGCACTAAGTAGTTATAGTAAAATGTAGTGGTGAATCCAGACTATGGCGTCAGTTGAACGAAGCGAATCACAAACAAAAACGTTTAGAGTTCATGGAATATAAGTCACCTTTTTTACTTAAGAACATTGATCTCATAAAATAATAAGGAAAAACATAAGTTACGAACAAATAATAAATTTTAACATGAAAACAGACAATCTTGAAAAATTTATTATTACCGCAGATGAAGCATAACTGCATCAGCGAAACTAGAGACAATTTCTAGATAAATAATAGTTGAATTTTGTTGGAGGTAAATCTTTTACTTCCGATGCTGAGATTGTTATTCTAAAAATGTGTCGATCGTGAACATGACTGTCGTCACCACAATGACCGTCGATTACTGTAACAAATTCAGGTAGGTCCGACGTTTTGGGCCAATACTAAACCACTCTATTTTACAGTTAGATAATGTTTATAATTCATAAAATGTGAAAAGGCTTTGTTGCAGCGGGAACAGTTAGTTGAGACAATGTGAAATTCACGATTGACTTCGTTTTGTTAATGTCTGAATTGCTAAGCTCACCCAGTAAATGGTTTGCTAAAAATTATTCCTAAATACTACAGTGTTGAATTTAGGAGTTCATTTTTGGCAAACCAACTACAAAGCCAAAAGTAAATTTATTAGTTGTGTAGAAAGTTTAGGAATACCAATTAGTAACAGCAGCTAAAAGTTTAGTACTTAATCATGAATAGAATTTAATAAAAGTGGATCTCCCTCAACTTCTTCAAATAATTTTACTAAGTACTTCTCTGAAATAGGAAAGCATGATTAACTTTTTTAACTATTACATCTCCTTGGCTAAGATTCCGTCAAGACCATGATTTAGCCAAGGAAATATATCCTGCATATTATAAAACTGCTGCAGGTCTTAACGCGTGTGCGAAACAGGAAATTAAATGTAGGTATCAGCGATCAAAAATATCTTAAATCCTGTCTAAGTCACGGGTCATTTTGTTGTTAAAGCTTTAAATAACTTGGCAAAACATTTTTAGCTTACGTTTTGTCGTAACGATTAGCATTGAGGTAAGATTATTTCGATTGAAAGATCTTCTTCTTCTTCTTGTCGTGTCGACAACAAACGTACACAGCGTCGGCCCAAAACTCCGCCACATGAATGGGGTTGTCAGTAACCTTCATTAAATCATCCTGTGTGCAGTTGTTTGGACACGCAGGGCACAAATTGGAAGATGTTAATGTGTTAAGTAACCGAGGGAAAACAAGTGACAAGCGAAATAGAACTAACTTTTGAACGATTCAGTATTCGCCTTATATTCTAGTTACTCAAGTCGCTGTCCATCCGTTCTTTTATTGTTCCATGAATGAATGATTTAAATACCGTGTTTGCAGGTATGTAACGCAGTGTATGTGCGACTCAACTACACGCAGCCTCTGTGTGCGTGCCCGGCAAGGTACCGGGACCCGTGTTCTGCTAGCTTGAACGCCGACGACCTGCATACTACGCGTCTCACCACGGATTCCAAAAAGAAGGTAGTGGTATTTATTATTTTTATTAAAATCCGGCTCGGAGGACCATTTTATCACTTATGGCTTTTACTACAAAATGATAACCAATTTAATTTCGAAATCACGGAGAAAAGCCATTGCGGAATTAAAACCGTCATGAATGTTACTTAGTCTATCTGAAGTATTCATTATAACAATACGCTAATATGAATTTATCAAACAAAAGCTATTTGATTTTCAAGCTATTATTTATGCAGCTTAGGGAATAAGTAAGGGAAAGTTAAAATGTAGAATAGATAAATCAAATCCTTAATAACCATTTAACGCTATGGTAAAATGACGGCTCGCTAACTTATACAACACTAGAAGCCAAGACAGAACAATCCGGGGCGCGATTTACATTCAAGCGCATTAATGGTCAACATCCACCATTGTTGCCAACTGGCATTCGTCGCCATGACAGAACAATATAAAACCACTTGCGCCCCATATGTGGTTGCCCATAGAATAATGCTAGAATGCCCATTGAGATTTCCTTACACCGCAGCCCGGCAATTAAGCCTTTCAAGGTATTTTATTGGGAATTCGCAGTTTCAGAAATTTCTCATTCTTTAACCTCTCACGTGCCGCAAAAACGGACAATAGAAAAACTATTTGGTGGCTTATAAAACAGTCGACTTCAGAGATTAATAAACTTGTCAAATGGCAAAAAACGCGGTTTTGTCAAACTAATTGTATTTTCTGCGGTAAAATTTCGCGGCAGCATTTTCCCGTAAACCGTTTTACACCGACGCCATTCTAGTTTGTTATTTCATCCATTACTACGAGTAAATCAGTATCGATTCACTTTTCAACCGACTTCAAAAAAGGAGGAGGTTCTCAATTCGACCCGTATGTTTTTTTTTCTATGTTTGTTACGCGATAACTCCGCCAATTATGAACCGATTTGAACAAATCTTTTTTCGGCGTATAGGTAATACCTCAAGGGTGGTCCCATTTAAATTTAATAATAGAAAAAACAACCCCCAAGGGTGGAAAATTGGGGATGAACTTTTTTATACGCAATATCTCCGCCGATTATAAATCAATTTGAACGATTATTTTTTTGTTGAATAGGTATTATCAAAAGGGTGGTTTCATGCGAATTTGAATAAAATATTTCACCCCCAAGGGTGGAAAATTGGGGATGAACTTTTTTATACGCAATATTTTTAATTTTTAGTTTTTTTTTGGTGTTCACGCATTTGAAGTCGGTTTTATTTTTTTTAAAAGTTAATTATAAAACCATAAAATGTGTCTTTATTTGGGCGGAACGCGCTTACTAGTAGATAACGAAAGTTGTTAGTCTCATTTCAACTGGCATTTTTGCACTCACAGCGGACGCCATGAAAGTGCTGTTTACCTGGAATGGCTTAACTGCTTTTAATAAGTGTTGTGGGGGAATTAATTAGCGACAAGGGCATGTTTTGATGCGGTTTCTAATAGTTTACATCAAACATTGGTGTGGACGACTTAAGTGTTTTTAGAGGTATCGCATTTTCTTACATAACTTTTCAATTCCTATCATTGGAGGTCCGAAAATATTTCTCATACAATTTGATATCATAATGATCATTCTTCATAAAAAATTTAAAACCTACGTATTTAAAAACATAATCATTGATATTCATAATATCACTAATCATACACTTAGTTTTTACTAATATTTGTTTTCATATATTTTTCTATACTAATGATCGAAACTCATAATCATTCGAATAAATAACTATAATATTCATAAATGTGATGTATCCTAATATATGTTTTCATAAATTTATTACTCATAAATGTATTTATCCATATTATTGAAAATCATGATGTCAATATTCGTATTAAATCGTATTTTAACGTTAAATTAATTTGAAATGGTCCAAAACAGGCAATATTTTGTGCCACAAAACTAACGTGACAGAAACGAATCGCTGCAAAACCGACTCCACGTAGTCTTGTCTGCCCTACCCCTAGAGTGTAATTTAAAAGCCGGAGGCGCGGAGGGAGGGCAGCCCTCGCCCGCTGTAACGAGGTTCAGGCGCCCGGGCGAGCTGGAGCGGCTGAGGCTGGTCGCCGAGGCGCCGAAGGCGCCGATGGCGATCCAAAAAGCCGAAGCTGCGGAAGCAAGCGTGGGTGCCTGAGCCTCGTTACGCAAGGGCGGAAGGGCTGCACATCCCGCAGCGCCGGAGACGAGGAGATACCAATGCATGCTGCATGCTTGCTTTCATGCTGCATGCTCTGCATGCTTATCTACTCTATTAAATTATATATGATTTTTTTAAAGATACGAGTATGTCTGTTATAAAGTAAATTATTCTGAACAACAACATTATGAGTTGAAGTATGTTCTTAGTAACAACATTATTAATTAAAACAATATGATCAATGAATGTTATGAAGAAAAAAGATCTGAAAATAAAAATTATGTATTTTAAATGGTTCTTGGTAGTAACAGTATTGATAAAAAAATTATGATTACTAACTGTTATGAGCTCCGATGGTAGTAATAAAAATGTATGAATAAAAAAAGTATGAAAAATAAAATTATGAAGAGAGATTATTATGAACACAAATCGGTAGTAAGACAAAGAATAGGATTTAGAATTTTATGTGAGCCAATATAGAACCATTTTTAGAACTGAGTTACTTGACTTTTGCTACAAGCTTGTTTTAAAAAAAAATAGTTTGTGAAAAGCTTAATATTTTAAAAATTATTTGAAGTTTTTGGGGTAATTCATTAAGCATAATTTACTTTTAGGCTGGGTTGCACCATCTTACTTTGACTTTGACAAACGTCAAAAATCTGTCAAACTCCATACAAAAAACACCGGTTATCGTCACAGTTACGGCCAAAGTTAGGTGGTGCAACTCAGCCTTAGTATTTTTTTATTTAACTGTCACTAAATTACTTGAATTTGAATATCAATAACATCTTCCAGATACTTAGATGAGCGTCTGAGAGAAGTTGTATAATTATATAGATCAGATTTTCGATTAATCCGTAACTACTAAGTTATATTCCTTAGATCTAATAATAACACATAGTGTCCACTACATTATTTTGTAGTAAAATCTCAAGCTTTCAACTTCCTGCGACAAAACTGTAATCATAATTTTCTCTCCATAAATTCCAGTACGCGTACAAAGCAGTTACACTGGTGAAGACATGCGAAGCAGTGTCAGAGATGCGAGAGTGCAGAGCACCCAGAGACTGGTCACTACTAGCGCTGCAAAATATCAGGACCGGCAAGTCGCACTACCTGGTCATATGCCGGTGTCCAGAGAACCACATACTAGGTAATAAACTCCATTTATTCTAAGTAAAAGACATACGCCCGTAATTCACAAACGTTACTATGAGGTCTCATAGTGCGCGTGAACGCACAGGGTGACACAAACCAAATTCAATACAGTGCTATATTTAACGCTGTGCGTTCGATTTGCAGTTTCACTTAAGCAAGTATCATTTGTGAATACGGGCGATATTTTCAAATCATCGATAAGATTATATCATGGCGCGCATCCTAGCCTAACCTGCCGGGCTAAGAAGCGCGCCGTGATATACTCTTATCGACGTCAAAATGTATGGGCAAAATCGATAAAATGGCTTGATAACCGTTTATAGGGATGTCCATCCTAGCCTACCTGGTAGATGTGGTTCCGTGACAACTCTGTTACTGCACATATCACCCCACCATGCCGCAAACACTAGTCATTCATAGCTGAGTATAGCAACTACTTATAGAGCACTTTTAATAATCCATTACTTTGTCAACATTAATCCTGCAATGGTTGGGTTAATAATCGCCAGATATTATGACTTTCGATAACTCTTTTATAATGAGAACAGCTAGGGACTGGAATACACTGCCTGCTGCTGTCTTTCCTTTCCCGAACACTTTAATCCGCCCCTTTCAAGGTGAGAGTGAATAGGCATTTACAGGACAGACATGTACTATCCTAGACCGCATCTTACTTAATAGCAGGCGCGATTGCGACCAAATACCTGCCATGTGCGTAACATAAAAAACACTTTTCTCTACCTAACAAGAGAAAATGTTTAGAGCTACAAACATCTATCAAGTTTTATTGCGACGGAAATGCCAAAATTCATTCTCTTAAAAACAACAAACTATATTTTATCTTCTTCTTTATAATTTATAGCCTAAGTATAAGTATGTTATTATATCTAAAGTGTATTGGAAAATGGATAGGCGACATGAAAAAATTGCTGGTTCGAACGAGATTAGTCACTTTCCGTAATAGCCAATTAAAAATAAAACTGTAGTAGCATCATCTAGTAAAAGTCATTGCCTTCATGATATAACACTATTTTGCTTCAGTTAAATGACACTAACGCGCATTTAATTAATTTATGTTCCCATTGCACGCAGTTCTCATAATATCTTACAACAATACGTTAACTAAAGTAATTTGTACAATAAACAGTTACACAAATTGTGCAAATATTTGAATTTTAATTTGAAATGTTTTGTAAAATTATTCATTTTTACAGTCAAAGAATTTTACGGTACCTAGTTCTATTACGTTTCACACATGTTTTAAGAATAATACGGTTATTTCGATTATGTTACTTATGTTTTTATGTCTGACCATTGTTTTTACAATCCATACAAATGTTTTAATGTTTTGTCTTCATAACTTTGTACCGAAATTCTATAATCAAATGAAAGGTTTGCCGTCCTTCCTCTCCTTTGATCTCTGTAATAAGGATCAAACAAACTTAACTTTGTAGTTGAAACACATGTTCCCCTGTACTTTCCAACGGCAAATATAACTTTGCGATTGGATAAATAGTTCAAAATACTCTTAAATTAACGAGCAATGTTCGGTTCGCGAGCGAACATCGAAGAAGACGATTCTTACGCACTCTCTTCAACCACTTTGCACTAAACGGTCTCGATATTATTGTAAATTTATACCGAATAGACAATTAATTTTATACAGTCCACTCTTTTCATTTATTAACTTCCACTACACTCACTATCGAAGTAACAAATATGTTTTGTTCTTCCGTATTCCAGAAGGCCCAATGTCACACGACCAGCCGACGTACGCATCAGTGCCCGGCATCAGAGTGTATGGAATGATGTGCGTGCGACCCAGTCCCAATTACCATTCAGGTAAGTTAAGGTCGAATTCTATCTTATTAGGCTAGTTTCCTAAAAATAACTTTTGGTCCGTTAATTACATTATCAAAAAATATTGAACACGTATATTTTTATTTGTCAATCAAACAAGTAATTACGAAATATGATGCGTTGAAGTTCCGCGTACCGTCACAAAGTGCTGCACTTTTATTCACGCCTTGACGTCACGGGCCTCTTCGTTTTGAACTTCGGCGCGCTTTACCTCTTTCAATTTTCATAAAAAAAAGTGAAAAATACGTGTCGAGTATTTTTTTGATAAATTGAACGACGGACTAATATTATTATTCAAACTCTTGCTTTTGTACCTAGGAAACCCCTATTCCTGTTTGATTTTTAAATGTTATCTCTGTGAGAACAAGGCTTGGTTTCCACCAAAGCGGAGCGGAGCTGAGAAGTGTCGAGCTCTGTGCGGAGCGGAGGCGAGAAGTGTAAATAATGAAATCTGATTGGTTATTTAACACACTTCTTTACTCCTCTCAGCTTTGGTGGAAACCAGGCCTAATTGTGCTAATAGCACCTCAGTAAGGTTGATGAAGATTGAATAACAATATTTTGGAGGGACGAAATTTTCACTTGTCCAGACAATTGAAATGTAATATATCATCACATCCATAAAATTAAACATAGTCGCTAACGAATGTTTCACTATTTAGACAGAGAATTATCATAAGAAATATCTAAATAAATATTCATACATCATGAAGAAGAAAAAAACGAATGCGTTAAAGCTAACAGTTTTTCCGCCGCTACGTAACCTCTTTAAACAGACTCCGTGTTCAGCGGAGGAAAACATCGAATACCAAAGTGATTTATTTGTATACAATAGAAAAGCTAACGCAAACTGCTTGATTAATTGTTTTTACCAACCCCATCAGATAATGACGAGGCTGACTAAAAGAGCCATCACTCAAACAAAGCTAATGATCGTTAAAAACGCGGTCTAATAGAATTATTTCTTAATTGGAAATTAGTTTCATTAGAAAAACGTACATTAACTCAACACGCTATTTATGATCACGAAATAGTATCCGTCTTTATAAGATTAACGTATTCTTATAAGTAAAATCAAGTTATTTTTTCAGGGTACAACACGAACAGATTTTCAAATGGGGGCGTACAAAGTACTACGAGTACTTACAAAGTGGACTATTCTCAACCGCACCCGTTCCCGGAGAAACCAGTCTACAACCGCTACCATTCCCATAGTTACTCGGAGCCGTCGTACTACAACAGGCGAAGCAGACTCTCGCGTTCGAGACGAGCGATTTTGGAATACCCCCCTTTCCCATGGTACAAAGTAAAAGAATTAGCTCGGTCATTACATTGGATCGACTAGAACAAAACCTGATGTAGCATTAGAAAAGTATGTTGGGTTCAAAAAGGCCAGACTGCAGTGATCGCTTCTTTCGCACCAGCTTCAGTTCCGAATCGAACAATCTGGTTCTGAAACGGAACTGAATTGAACAGGGATATAATATGCCTCTCTGAATTCAACGCAAACTTGAACTAACATATCGAAACGCTTTCGCTTTACGTATCCGTAACTAGATTTAAAGATAAAATCGAATGCTTCCTTATTAAATCTTCCCATTCTAAACATAGGTTTAGAATGTCGAAAGTTCTTTTACGCCTATGGAATACTCATTACAGCTGCATTTATAGATATAATCATTCATATAAAACTTAATACGATTGTTATTTGAGGTCAATCTGTATTTGAAGAGTGAAAGCGTAAATGTACATGAACGAGTGAGGTGTTGTGAATATTCAGATAGGTTCAAAGTATATTCATACCCGTGTATTTTCAAAATTGAGACGCCGGGAAGTGCTATGTCACGAATAGAACTCGAGATTCGAATTTAGTACCTTAATCATTGTTGTCATTGTCTACACTGCAAACCGGTTTCGATATTCGACTCTGTCTCGCTCACTCATTTGGGAATGCTGGTATGAGTCTAGATTTTTATTCTTTTATCTTGTGGGTCGTAACAACTGAACACCATCCTGTAAAATCTTCTAACCAACTTGTAAAAGTAGTTATTTTTTACACACATAGTGCAGCCTACTACCGGGAATCGAACCCTGAACCTAAATTAAATTTTCATACCACGTGCTCCATAGAGGCTACTACGAGCGTGTGAGACGTATAAAACATAATTACACCGTTTTGCAGTATAGACCTTCATATTTATACTCACATATCAATTAACTTCTATTTTAGGAATATTATTTGCCAGACATTTAGACGTAACCATGACTATAGTATTAAGGTTTGATTCGAAAACATTACGCGAACAAAAATCGAACAAATGTGTCCCCACCAAGGCATGATGATTGTTTTTATTTCAACGATATTGAATGTAGAGTCGATCTACGGTGGGACTTTTGACATTTACACATGTACTTACACTGTAAATATTGACAGCAATATGACTATGTATTGGCAAATATTTATGTTTCCTAAACATGATAGTGGCTCCCTCTTCCTTCATTTTGCCAGATAACGATTTAAACCATCTTTTAAAATTTGATAACACGCGACACTTTTTTTCGTATTTTTTTTTTGCTATTAACAATTAAATGTATTAACACTATTGCAGTTTGTCATAAGTGCCATCGTTGACTCTACAAAATTGACCGTAACAAGGTCTTGAATGAACTATTTTATTAATAATGTAAGAATGTACACGAGACAATGTGATAAGTGATTCAGTGGAATTTGTGTAATTTTTCGATGCATTTATAGCTATTTAAGAATTAATTTATAGTTGATACAGTATTTATTTAAGTAAACCATATTTATACTTAGACGATTACGATGTAAATAGTAGTGTTAATTACAATATTTGTAATTACGAAAAATTAAAGCTAACGGAATATTTATGTATTGTTTCATTTGTTTATTTCGACTTACCTATCACTTTATACATCCATAGACACAACAAAGTTTCAACAACTTTTTATATGCGTGTTCCATCCCTACACATTATTGCTTGCGTACGCGCAAATGCATTCGCTGTCATTTGCTAATCTGTAGAAGTTTACTTGCATACTAAAGTCGGGAAAATCATACACAAATTCCTATACAATTGAGCACAGTTGTAGTGTGTGAATTTGAATTTTAATGCTTTATAAATAAGCAACCTCCAGATAAAAAGAAATCTCCTGTAATACAAAAGACTTACCTAATACTTTCTGGTCGACGACTATGTCACAGGAGTACATGGCTGCCATCAACCGCTGCGGTTGGATTTGGAAGGCTCTTCTGCAACCGTCTTTCACCGCGGACACGATTTGACCTGAAGAACAATGAATCTTATTTTATTGTGAACTAGCTTTCCGCCCGCGGCTTCGCCCGCGTGGAATTTTGTCTGTCACAGAAAAACTTTATCGCGCGCGTCCCTGTTTCAAAAACCGGGATAAAAACTATCCTATGTTCTTTCTCGGGACTCAAACTATCTCTATGCCAAATTTCATCAAAATCGGTTGCGAGGTTTAAGCGGGAAAGCGTAACAGACAGACAGACAGAGTTACTTTCGCATTTATAATATTATATACTAGTTGGGATAATGTTAAAAATTGTAGTTACTGGATTATTTAGGGCTAATTTTACTGTGGATGTTTCAGATAGGTGACATACCATGCTATGTGGTTGAAGTTAAGATATAACAGATATGATAACAGACTCTAAAAAAAGCCTGTTATGATAACAGGCTTTTTTTTTACAAAATAGTGAAAAAGGCCCTTCATCTTATAACTAAATAAATACAGATAAAAAAGGACAATGTAGCACTGACAATCCCAACAATTCTTTTTTTTAATCACACGGATGGCGCCACTGTAACGTTTTCACTGGCCAGTGGCGCTAACGGTTACAAATGGTACTTATTTTTCCAACCATATCGTAATAAATAAACTACTTTAGAAATGTCGTAGTCATCATTGTATGAATAGAATTAAGGACTAATGTAATCTTATGAAAATAAAATGATGCAATGTATACCTGAGTGTGGTCCAAAAGTGTGACTTCCATCTTCTGTCTCGTTCTTTTCCAGCGTCCATTCCTCTACACAAAACGCCACACCCATCATCGGCTCCTCACACAAAGGCCCAGCCAAAGTGGCCAATTGGAATCCATTCACAAAACTGCTCTCATACTCAAACCTCGGATCCTCTTTAATATCCTTATCATGCTGCAAATACTTAGTAACGTAATCCTTCGTGTGATTCAACAGCAAATTCGGACCACAATTCCTGGGCCCTACAGACCAAATTTGATTGACAACGTCCTTCCATTCCGGTCCCAATTTTGAGCAGATATTTTGCAGTTCGTCTTTGAAATTTTGTACCAATTTCAACATTCTGTCTGATAGCTTGTGCTTTGTGCCGTTGATGTATAATTCGTCTAATTTCTGTTCTAAATTGTCGTTTTTGGCTAAACCTTGTAATGTTTTTATATGCTGGGAAATTACTTTTAGTAAGTCACTGGATCTATCTAATAGATTAGTTATTTCTGCTGGAACAGGTCTAGCTCTGATTTTAATTCTGCTTTGCTTGTTGTTAGTGTAAATCGTTATGACGGGGTCTTCTTCTTTGTCGTTCCCTTTATCGATGTTTTGGGCGTCAATTTCTTCGTTGGCCATATCGATTTTGGGAGGTTCGACGATTGTTTCTCTGAATGGAACTATCGGCTCAGATACCGTGATCGGTATTTTTGCGTAATGGTTTCTGGAAAATATGGGAAGATGATTTATAAAAACTTAAAAAGTATAAACCATGTCTTAGTGAATAAATATTCGAATAGCAACCAAGTGCCGGAAAACTTTAGTGCTGTTGCGAGTTCGAATACCGGTAAGGGCAAATTTTATATTCACAATCAGAACTAGCATTCATACCTTGAGTCAAATGGCAAGGAACTATTATCAGAGTAAATACAAATGAGTAGGGCATTTTCATAGAAACCTCTGCTATTTTAGTCTATATGAGGATATTTAACAATCTGTATTAATATTAGTATATTACATGCGCCAGCTCAGATTGACAATTGATTTTGCACCTTATTGTAAAAACATAAAGTTCAAAATTCAGTTAGTGACTTGATAATTTTGTAAATCTTTTTCAAGTAAAAGTATTTATTAATTAACTTACTTCAAGTCTTCCAAACACCTTTCCAAGTGCACCTCGCCAGCGGTCACTATGACGTGTTCGCCCGTTTCTTGCAATAGCACTTGCACGCAGGAATCCGATTGGTTCAGAAGTTTGAGACCTGGAAATTAAAAAGTTTAAAGTTAAAAAGTTTTAATGTAAAGTTTATAGAGTTACGATGTTTATGTCGTCTTCACGAAGATTAGGACCATAATATAAATTTTCCACCGCAGCAAGATACTTTCCGTGATTAAGATATTTGCCATTGTCTATGTAAGCTGTTCTACCTCCGCGGGGTACTTAGATAAGACAATATAAGATAAGAATTAATTAGCGGCTGATTTGAAAAGCACTAGGTAGGTACAAGCTGGACATTTCAGGATCTTATTAATTTGTAATAAGTACAATTTTGCAATACAATTTATAATCGGATGACTTTACTGACGACCACTCCACAATAGCTTCCTGGAAAAACAAACGGCTATAATATACTCGACACTCGTAGATGGTCTTATGTTTTTCTTGTGCTTGTAAGTTTTTTTAAATAACTTGAAAAAATCGAACCTAATGAGATAACCGAACCCAAGAACTTTCGATTGCTCTTCCATGAGACGACTCAACGCCAAAAATTTTTTAAAACTATTGAGTATTGTTTAGTCTCTCTCTACATCACATCCACTACACTCTATTTTACCAGGTGCAAAATTGGTGTATTTTTTAAAGAAAATCTATCTATCTATCTAATAACGTTGCAGGACTTACCTTTCACCAACTGCGGCAGTTGAGAAGGATACGTAGGCTCCAAAGCGACTCTTAGAATGGGCACAGCAGCGTACTGTATCTCGCTGAACGCTGGACAGGCGACCGTACTGCTAAGAGTAGCAGTCTTGAGAACGTAGTCTTCTAGGCCGCCAATACCTGAAATATGGAAGAGAATATTTAGTTTTCATGTGTTTTTAAACACATTAACGCACTCGGGTAACAATTACTTTTGAACATTGAGTTGAGTAATTGTGATTAAAAATGTGTTACTTATTGGTATAGTGCTGAACTGAATCAGTCTTAGGTATGGGTAAGTCAATTAAGATTTAATTTGATTTCGATTGTATAGAGATTTTAATTACCGATTATATTTCCTGCAACAGCCTCTTCAATTTCTTCTAATTCTCTTCCCATTAGAATGTATAACGACTTAATTCTGAAACAAAAATAATCGTTAGACAAGATTCAGTAATAATAGACATTTAATCACTACAAAATAGATACTTACTCTGTACAAGTGATATGTTCATCACTATGCAAATCTTTCAATTTCTTATTAGGATCTATCTTGAAGTCTTTAAGACTAAGTATCTTGGACGGGTCATGTTTAGGACCTAAAACATATACTTTATCACCTTTCTTAACTTTACCGCTAAATACTCTAGCAAATGCTATAAATGCTGTCTCCTCTTTTTCTTCTTCTTTTGTCTCTTTCTCATTTTCTTCGCTTTTTTCAGAACTTTCCGATTCAGCCTTTATTTCTGGAACTGGTTCCGCAGCGTTTTGTTTCATCTCCTCCCGCATTTTTCGCGCCAACTCTCTCCTACGCGCCATTTCTTCGGGTGTCAACGCTTTAGGCTTATTCTCTGGAAGTATACTCTTGTCCACCCCAAACATCTTCGATATAAATATAATTATAGGCTTATCACCTCTACTATCACAGGCTAAGAAGTCATCTTTAAGTTTCTGCGTCTCCGCATTGTATGAATCGAAGTCTCTGATTCTTGAACACATTAGTTTTTCTACCTTTTCGGGTAATATCTCTTTAGGGGAAGGTAGTTTTGAGCAGACCATGTTGAGGACTGTCTGGGATAATGGAAGCCATTGCATCATTAGAGACTGGAGTTGAATTCTGGTGTCTGTATGTCTGAGGTCTCGTGTAGTCAGTTTGATGCCAAGTTTCTCGCATATGACAGGGACTTTCTCCTTCTCATTTCTAAGGACAATCGTTTCGTAGATGTTCCACAGATTGTCTAGGATGACTTGCACGAATAAGGGCTTCTTTGCTTTCTCTTGCGCTCCTTTCATGAAGCGTTTGGTCTTGGTGTTTAAATAGAAGTCACCCCATAACACTTTTTTCAGTATCTCATCTTTCACACCTGAAAATCAATATAATATTGCTTTCAACATTTGTGTAAAAGAAATACTTGGATGAATAAAGAAGCAATTTTTTGAAGATGCAATATGCAGACCACTTCTTGACATGGCTTTACTAATATTTCCCACTAGGATTGGACCTCTTTTGATCTAATTTCCTACAAACAATGACTGATGTTATTAATATTAAAGTAATAACTTACCAAGTTTATCAGAGAATAATTTAGCGAAAGTATGAGTAGTGAAACCCCATCCATCAATAGCGCTAGCGAACACTACATTCCCTTGTTCAGGTGAGAAGTAAAGATGAGAATCGTCGGCATCTTCTAGAGCAGAAGTCCAGTCGTAGAAGTTGTTGTCCTCTTTCGGTTGCTGCTTTTGTTGCTGTAATAGTAAATAATTGGATTTCATTAAATAATTAGCTTAACCTAGCGAAGATACGCAGTTAAAGAAAAACGCCTGAAGAACCGGATTGGAATCAGACAGATGATTGGATTATTGTTCCATGAAAACAGATTGCCAAGTAGCAGAATAGAAAAGAAAAAAAAATAGCTTAGTAAAGTATATTGTTAACAAGGTGGCATCTTGTTTAGTTGTAATAATTGAGATTTGTAACAAAGATTAAGTGTATGTTGTAATGTTTTATTCCAATATTAACTAGTTATTTTACTTTGTATAAAGAAAAATGATATAGTTGTAATACTATAAATGTGTTGCTTTAAGGCATTATTGTATAAGAGTAAAGCTCAAAAGGCAAAATCACACTTTACCTGTTTGTCAATAGTATTCTCTTCGTTTTCAAACACTTCGGTAGCAAACAATTCCCCCATCACAGCGTTGACTTGCTCCAGAACTTGGGTCAGATGGATGTATGCGTCGAGAGGTGTAAACTGCATTTCCAGGATGAGCCGATCAATCTTGTTCAGGACGAGTACAGCACGGATGTTTTCAGCGTACGCTTGCTTGAGAGCTAGCCTTGTTTGAGGGCAAACTCCTTCTACTACGTCCACCTGGAAAATAATTTAGCTCACATTCGTATCTTCAGCATTTTCCGAAATATTTAACACAAAGAAAATGTAATAACATTTTTTGTACTAAACAACAACCATATCTGTTTCTGTGATGTATTCAAAAACTTATTTTTTTTTACAAAGAAGGATCTGTGCAGTGTAAGGATGTTAGTTGACAAAGTTATAATTAATACTTTAACTTATATCTTATCTAAACTTACTCAGCATGTTGCACAATAATAGTCAACACAATAATATTTGCATTATAGGTAATCTTACTGGTCACTTTTACTAGAATCTATTTATGCCATAAATACATGCTTCATAAGTGCTAATTAAAATCATATGACTTGTTCTTATTAGACCATTGTATCTGATGTATAAAACAAAAACAACTTACCACTACAATAGCTCCATCGCACAAACGCACTGCCGTGGACACCTCACTCGAGAAATCAATGTGCCCAGGTGAATCTATGAGGTTCACCAGGTATTCTTCCTGGTTCACAGCGTGGTAGAGCGCAATACTGCTACTTTTCATGGTGATACCTCTCTCCTGTTCATCAGGTCTGCTGTCCATATAACGCAGCTTTCCCGACATCCTCTGCGATATGATACCATTACTAGATATCAAGGAATCCGCCAATGTTGTTTTCCCATGGTCCACGTGGGCCACAATGCAAATATTTCGAATATTAGACTGCTTGTTTTGAAGTTCCAAAAGTTTTGATGAATCTACCAGCCGCATGTTGGAAAATTTTAATACAAGTCACTGCCAATTGTTAAACACGATTACGAGACACTCTCCTCAAATTTTGAATGATCAATATTGCGAATAAGTGTGTTAAAATTGTGAAATTTGTTTCACAACACGAGTAAAGTTGCGATAATTTTGACAACATTGACAATGACAGACAATGTCGCGGTTGACACTGACGTTCGTGACGTTTTCGTTCAGAAATGTTCAAACAATATAAAATAACGTTACTAAATAATACCGTTATTTTAAACTAAAAAAAATTAATAACTTTCTTATACAAGTATTCATGATTTTTTTTGCTGTTTTATTTATACTCGAATTTATATTTATAATTGATTCTCGAAACAAAGTCCAAGACACTATTATTTAATTGTTCTGCGAAATTGCTAGTGCACTACGACGAGTCAGTCTACGACTCGTAACGAATATATAGCCTGACCAGGAACATAAAAACCCTGGCATAGAGGCGCGGCAATTGCATTTGATAGTGCAACACTGAGTACAGTCGTACCTGTGTTAAATTAATAGGCTAACTTTATGTATCAGGATTCAGGATTACGGGTTAATTTGATATTTTCATAAATTAACGAAAAAATATTATTATAGGTAACCTGGTTTAAATAAATTAAATGAAACCATCAATGGAGCTAGTAGGATTTATTTTATTATTAATCAATAATCAAATTCAGAACTTGAATATTCAACTGCAATGTCTGCTCATGAACGCTTCAAACTCGGTACTTCTTTCCCAATTCCATAAAATTCAACACTTAGAAAGTGACAAAAAACTTTAAAATAGGTAGTTGAAACAAACCACAGCTAATTTTTCATGGCGGACTGTACTATACGATCAATATGTCAGTCAATTTGACAACCTTTGTCGGAAACATTATTCAATGAAAATATTGTCCGAAGTTCCGAACCCTTAATATTTCTCTTCGACAAATACTTTAACACATTGTGAACCACTTTTCTTTCACGACTATAAAAATATTTTAGCAATTTAATTCACAAAATCAATTGCACACATTTAAAATAAAGTTTGTTTACACTTTGACAGCAAAAGACTGACATGCAAGGTGACATGTCAATGAAGTTTTCAGTTACTGTTGCCATTAAAAGAAATTAGTACCATTAGTTTTCCGCAACATGGCGAGGGTTTTTATGTTCCTGGTCAGGCTATACCTACCTTTCAAAAAAATATGTAACTAAATCGTTTGAGAGCAACGCTTCAAGTATATTTATTTGCTAGCAAGTTTCTCTTTATCCGTCAAGGAAATTTTCCTCCATGCATAATAAATAGCGCACTTAAAATGAATTCGTCGTATTTAATGCTAACAACTTGACAGCGCTCGAGTGCCGTAATGCCGTTTAAAAAGACAGATAGCGAACCATTAAGTACTGCAACTTGCATGGCCCGCGCCTGTTCTGCAGTTAACTTTCTTAGCCGTTTAAAATGATTTAATTCAATCCAGTTTAATCGCGGTACCTAAGTCGATTTTATTGAAGCATCTGAATAGAGCTTTTGAATTCTTTTTGATAGAGGTAAGGGGTAACAGACAAATGTCTGCGTTAGATAAATATGACAATCGAAGAGGATAGATCATTTTTATTCTTGCTAAAAAATACATGAAATATAATTTACTTACGCCGTTGAAGCATTTATGAAGGTTGGAATAAATAATACCTAGGTATGAGCGAGAGGGGTACGGAGCTAAAATCTAATTATTACTGTATTAATAAACAACAGAAATAATACACACAGTATTTTTCATACGATATTACATTATGTATTATTTGTGTAGAGCGTTCTTCTCGGAATGCAAACTTTGTCTCAAATCAGCTTTCAGCTTAAGTTCATCGTAGCGGAAGACTAAGTTCACCTACTGAGCGCAAAGCTGATTGCCTCAACCTGACTCGCATTGAATATCCCGGTAACTTTCACAGAAAAAACATCCCTAAACTCCAATATTATGAATTTCATCTGTATGCCTTCTCAACACCTTGGGATTAGTCCCCTAATTCCCGGGACTTCGGTATTATTCTTTTACACCTATTTTATTTTATACTTTTTTAAAAGCTGACCTTTCTTTCAGTGCAACTCCAATGCAGAACACAAACATGATCCATGGTAAATAAAAGCAAAATAAAATCCTTTTCAATGTGTTTTCACGGATATTTCATTGTGATCTTTCGAACAGCGAAAAATATTTTATAAAATTTTTACTGCTACCGATTTAGTGTCAGGAATCGGGATTTGCGTTCCCTAGTAGGTAAAGAGAAAAACCTTTCAGACTTGGAAACTCTAGTTAACTATTTCTCTATGTTGAGTGCTTTTTAGTTTCTACTTGAAAACAAGATTGTTCTATTCATTTTGCTTGAAAATTTTCCTTTCTTGCGTAGCTATTTGCAAGTGCGCTGTCAAAATTACTGCATGAATTCACTTCTCTATGTGGTATTGAAAATTGCTTCGTTCTCGACGAACAACGTAAGAATATCCCTTATTTTCAGAGCAATAAGAGTAACTTTGGTAATACAGTGTTACCTTGAAATGCCGCCGGTGTGCCTAGGCAAATAAAATCACTGTCGAGTTTTCTTCGTTCAGAATTTTGGTGTTACATTAAAAGTTCTTCCCTAACTTGGAACGTAAATAATACCACCGACTTCCAAGTACGCAGGTACCTATCATTCACTGTCATGTTTTTCATTGCTCAAAGATTTTCTTGCAAAAATATAATGTTTTCTCAGGTAAACGAAATATGATAAGAAGGTATAAAATAAACGTAAGTTGTTAAAATAATAAAACTTGAAATGTCTGCCTTTGAGCTGCTTTCTGTAACAAATGTTGCAATAATAAATTTTGAGTATGACGATGAGCACAGTGACACAGATACCTAGGCCTGACTTATTCCTATCCGTCACTTAACATAATATTATTCTCTTCGGAACATAAATTTTAATACACATAGAATAGAAATACAGATTGATTCAAGCCTGAAAAAGTCCCAACAACCCGTAGAAAGAGGCTTGCAAACTCTTATCACTAGACCACAATTTTCTAGTCCCATCTAGGATTTAAACTAGACCATGGTTTAACTAGCTATGTAGACCAGTCATAACGTAGACAAAGACTGGAGCATCATTACTTGAACTTACAAAGTTGTGCAACTCTTTTCTTGTGGCATGCATATTCATCGGTGGCATTAATGTTGGTGATTTAACTTAGGAGTTGGTTGTTAGTGGCAACTAAGTTGTACAATGCAGAGAGGTGCAGCAGATCTAGAATTCTAGATGCTTACTTTTCCAAAGCATCATTATAGTCATCATCATCATCATTTCAGCCATAGGACGTCCACTGCTGAACATAGGCCTCCCCGAATGATTTCCACTATGGCATGTTGGTGGCGGCCTGCATCTAGCGCCTTTCCGCTACCTTTATGAGGTCCTCGGTCCAAAGCATAAGTGTGCAAAATATGTAAGTTACATATTATAGATGTAAAAGGCACATGCGTGCTTTAGGGCGACTACAGATTGGAGGCGTAAGGGAGCACTCAGAGCACTGTCTTGTATTTTCTAGAAGCGCAGCTGCAGCGCCCACTAAAGTGACATCGTGGAAAAGACGTGCGTCTGTTGCGCTTCTAGAAGTATGAAAATTAATGTTACCTTGAGTGATAGAACGATCGATGCCGCGGGAAAAAGTTATTGCCAATAAAACTGAACATTTAACTGTCACACAAAAATAAACAAAAATAATTTCAATGGTCTTACTTTTCGGATTCAAATAAAAGGAATAGCCTAGTCAAAAACAATATTCCACTGATTTCTACTGACCGCCATATTTTAAGTAAAAAACCAATGCATGATTCAATTTTTCTCACTAGAGGAGTTTTATATTAGAAATGGAATTTCTACTCGTTCTGAAATTTATTTTATTTTTACGTGCAGGTCTTGGCGTTTCATTTCATAAGAGAATGACCTACCGCACATCTGTGTTACTTGCGCAAAGTTCTGAAAGAGTATAAATTTCCGAAGTTCATAGCCTTCAGTTCAGCAAAGGTTAAGTTTGTTAGCTGGTTAGTTAGTAGCTAAAGTAAGGGATTTTTCTAGAATGTAAGTAATCTCTAGAGACAAGCTACCTACCAGCAAATAATCGGTATTATCACGATAAAATTCGAAAATTCTATTTATTTTCACAGGAAAAACAATACTAGGGAATACCCTTGCTAGAGAAGAGAGCCATACCTATTAGAATGTTGATGTTTTAAATTAAGCACTGTAATTTAACTTTTATTTTCCTTTTTTGTAAATATTGTATTTGTTTTTGTATATAGTTTTTGTAAAGTTTGTAAATTACCTGTACAAATTTAGAAAAAACAAAGCACTGTAGATATTCTATAGGGAACAAAATTTGTGTGATACGTGTGTATGACTGACCATAGTAGGGTCACTCTGTGTCTATTCATCCTTTCACTCACAAGTTCACAGCAAAATGTTGGCTGGTGCCTGGAGTGGCATCGACAAGAATACTCGATAGTACGGAGAACGGAAAATCTAGCGTTAGGTACGAGTAGGTAATGGCTTCACGGATTAATTAGAGAGAGCGTGCATTTTGCCAGCAACTTTATAAATCAGTGATTTATAACTTGATTGTCATCACCATTTTCTGTATCCTAGCTACGTGTAGGTACCTACTGTAGTAGGTAGCACTTTCCTATCCATTAATAACTCTTATGATCTTTGTTAGGTTAACTGGTTTTCGCATCATTGTAATTTACTCTGAAAAAAAAAAAAAAACATTTTAACAACTTTAACAAAACGTAACATAATTCTCAAAAACATGCAAAAATCACATTTTAATTAGGGTAAAGTAATAAGTTGCGTCCCTTAACTCCGTTGTATCGCGACCTCCCGTCCCACATGTGACACTTGGTAAATAACGTTTATAGCACTTATATCGCGCTTTTGATAATTAAATGGGCTTAATTGGGTACATCGCATGCATAACTGAATACTTTGTAACAGCTTTATAAATTCTGCTACATTTAATTTCAGAATGGCTTTATGGTGCTGTGTAAATACGGAATCGTTAATAGCACATAAATGATTGTATAAGCGTGACAAAATGAGCT